TAATTACTCATACTTTTTGTCAGATTGATGTTGCTGCCTGAATTAATAAACTGAATAATCACAAATGTGTCCTTCTGGATTCTCTCGTGTGTCAGCCAAATATAGGCACGCCGGACCAGTCGACAGCAGGTGGCAGTGCCGTTGGCATGTTGGACCGTTCCCGTATGGCGTTGTGCACCTTTACCTTTCTCTTCCTCTCACTCAACCCTTTGGCTGCTCTGTTCTGTTCATCGGGTAGCAGCTCATCTGGAAATACTGAAGCTGTAAGCACCCATCACGCGGGCAGGACCGTCCTGGGTGTGGATGTCGCAGGTACAGAGTGGGGGAAAATGCTGGGAGGGAGACAGATGGCAGTGATTCAAATTTCACATAATTAGCTCTCAATAAATAGATTTTCTTTGCAATTAAATAACACTCTGTGTTGTTTATAGGTGACTCGTGGGGCTGGATGGATTGGATGCTCCCGACTATACTGGTGTGGCTACTGAATGGTATTCTGGTATCAGGAGTTCTAATACGCCTGTTGGTGTATGGAGAACCTGTAACCAGACCACATTCTGGATCATCCGTCTTGTTCTGGAGGCATCGCAAACAGGCCGACCTGGACCTGGCAAGAGTATGCTTCTTTTTTTCTTTTTTTTTGACCATATTTAAATCAGAAATCCTTCTGAACTCTCACAGAATCTATAAAGTGGCTCTTTGTCTGTTTTCTCTCACCATTTATCTTTTACACTTCACAGGGAGATTTTGCCCAAGCCAGTCACAACCTGTGGACTTGTCTGAAGGCTCTCGGTCGCCCCTTACCCACCTCCCAGTTGGACTTGGCCTGCGCAGCACTCTGGTCTTTGCTGAGATTCTGCCTCCAGCGTCTATGGGTTGGCCGCTGGCTGGCTGCCAGGGCAGGAGGGCTGCGATCTGATCGCCCCCTGCAGGAGGATGCCTGCAAAAGCAGCCGTGATGCCGCCCTGGTTTACCACCGCTTGCACCAGCTTCACATGACAGGTTGGTCACCATAAGAGTCCTGTTTTTAGATCAGATCAGTGTGACACGCTGGACATTAGGAGGTGAATTGTCATTCATTTCAAAGCAACTCAGCAACATTTGAAGTAAGGTTTAAAAAGCTTTGCAGTCTTTGCTGTGCAAAAAGATTCTGTCTAAAGAGAAATTCCAGTTTAAATATTTTTTGTGAATAATAAAAAAAACCTAATTATTTTCTTGTCTTCGATCTGTGCCTGCAGGTAAACTGAATGGCAGCCACCTCTCAGCAGTGCACATGTCTTTAAGTGCAGTGAACCTTGCAGAGTGTTCTGGCTCATGCCTGCCTGTGGCCTCGCTGGCTGAGATCTATGTTTCTGCGGCTCTACGAGTCAAAGCCAGTTTGCCGAGGGTTCTGCATTTCACCTCTGTGAGTCCCTGTTGTTTGCACAAGCATACGCGTCTTGCTCAGTCATTTATAAGCAGTGTTTTTACCCCGACTCTGTTTCTTTTGTGCTCACATGATGTAACAACAACCAGTTTTGAGTTGACATTTTGTTTAATTTATCTTTCATGGTTAATAAACATTCACTGAGGTGATTAAAGATCCTGCAATCTGTCCCAACGTGAAATATTTTAAACTACACGAACCAAAACGTTTTTTTTTCCCTTCTTTTGATAGCGTGTGTTCCTGAGCAGTGCTCGTCAAGCATGCCTATCTTCCAGCGGCAGTGTCCCCCCAGCCATGCAGTGGCTTTGTCACCCACTAGGTCACCGCTTCTTCGTGGATGGGGACTGGGCTATTCGCAGCACCCCTAAAGAAAGCATCTACAGCCAAGCTGGCAACACTGGTCAGTGAAAGCAAAAGTTTGCACTCAGTGTATAACTGTGTTTTTACAATACCTAGTTTGGAATCCTCTTGCCTACAATATGCAGGCACATTCTGATGTTTATATTTGTTATTATTATTATTGTTATTGGTTTCCCTTGCAGTGGATCCTCTGGCTCAGGTGACTCAGGCATTTAGAGAACACCTCCTGGAAAAGGCTCTGTACTGTGTGGCCCAGCCTCGTGGAGAGAAAAATACAAGTCCGGGAGACGGGTGAGAAATCAAGACGCGCTTTCATATAATCGATTCTTGTAACTTTTGGTTCGTTTGCTTTTCTTGGCAACAAGTTACGGTTTACTTCTCATAGAGTCGCCAACATACAAAGAAAGGAATGAGAATAATAAACGCAGAATTAAATTTGGTATTTAAAAAAAAAAA